TCATTCCTGTGGAGCTGAATTAGAACTAGCTTTGAGAGGATTCGTTTGTTTATTTGGTGATGTCATAATTAAGCATATGGTAAATAATGTCCTGCAATACAGTGTAAATAAAGCATAAAATTCAATCAAGGAAGGCCTAACAAAAACCCCACCTGACCCTGTGGAGGTTCAAGAAGTCAATTTGTCACTTTGGCAGCCCACGGTAGCTATCCTGACAGATGACTGGAACTGGGCAGTAAGCACAGCTGTGGTTGCTAACTCGCTCTGGGGGTGGCTGAGGTTCACAGATCCTGTGCCTGTAGCTGTGTTTGCTCCATGGCTTCTAATCACATTGCTTCCAGCAGGAAACCCTCGTGCTTGGCTGCCTGAGAAGGTGCACACGAGGCTTGGTGCTGGTTAAACACCACGTGAGTCCACCTTTCCATGGGATTCCTCAGCGGTGGCTGACGGCGCGACGTTCCAGCTGCATCACAGTGCTGCTGCAGTGAGCTTCAGGGTGGGTGGTGGGTCCAGCCTCGTGGGACCACAGTCCTCCGCAGCAAAGTCCCTCGCGGTACGAAAATCGTCTTCCGTAAAATGGGTACCAACATGTAGCAAAGCAAAGTATTTTTGCTCCTGTTCTGTACAGAGTGGATGGTCACTTTCACTCAGGGGTTTTATGTTCTGTGTCCCACTGGGCACAAGATACTGCCTTTGAAAAAGAGAAGCTGTAGTTTGACACTGGGATGCTGTTATGGTTCATAAAGAGCATACTTTGCTGCCATGAGATGGAGGCATATTTAGTACATCCATCCATCTCCTTCCCCTTTTGTCCTCCCCTAAACATATGCGGATAATTTTACAGGAAAGACATTCTCATCTAATCTCCCTTTTATTGTACACTTACTGTAGCAAATGCTGCTCACGTGTAGACTATTTTGTCCAGATCTCTTCCTGCATTAAAAGACTTATATAATCGTATTGAGAGAGAGCACTTAGAGATCTGTAATCCACTGGTCTTACTGAATGACTTTTTACATAATGAAAATCTGTGAAGGGTAAATATGTTGACTGGGAGCTCCATTAGCACTTAAAGAGTAGGTATAGCTGGAAAGTGTGTATAAACACAGAGCTTCCAAGGGAAGGAGCGGCCTGGGACCAATCCTCCTGGACTGCAAGCAGTAAGCACGTGTTCAGTTTTTAATCCGAAAGCCAATTGCCTCAGGTATTTAGTCCAGTTTTAAACATTGCATTACTGCAAAAAATATTTCATGTTTGCATGAGAAATGTGAATTTTATATCCATAATGCTGAAGTTTGATTTGCATTGTTTGCAACATGAGGAGAATCACTCTCATGATGGTTCTGTGCTCCTTTCGTTAGGAAACTAAAAACCACTGTGATCAATGTTTATATGGTGATGGACGGGAAATCCTGGGATGAAATTACAGATTGTTGCATTTAACAGCCTCAGTTCTGATAGTCTGATAGAACTGTTGATCAGTTTTTCTGTCAATACCACAGGAAGACTTTTTCCCTCTAATACCTAATCTAAACCTACTCTGACTTAGTTTGAAGCCATTCCCCGTGTCCTGGCACTACATGCTCTTGCAAATCGTCCCTCTCCGTCTCTCTTGCAGGCTCCCTTCAAGCACTGAGGCCACAGTTAGGTCACCCCTAAGCTGTCTCTTCTCCAGGCTGAACAATCCCAGTGGTCTCAGCCTTTCCTCCCAGCAGAGCTGCTCCATCCCTCTGATCATCTTGGTGCCTCCTCTGGACTCGCTCCAACAGGTGTTTGCTTTGAATTACTGCTGCAAGCCAACCAGTAAGTTGTAAGGATGTACTTTATTTTAAGTTAAATAAATAGTGACAGGAACAGGTTTGTGTTATTCAAAGTGTAGAAAATACCACCCATGTACAGGCAAAACCAGTGTCATTCCAGTCAGGAATAAGATTTTAGTATACAGCAAATGTGTATCCTGTGAATAAAGATAAAATAACTAGATCAACATTGAAATTAAGCAGTGACCAACTTCTTTTGTCCTGTAATTGCATTCTGACTCATCAATCAGCATGGGAGGATGTCCTTTTTCATCCTGCTACTTAGAGTGTTTTGAAGTTTGGATTCCCATTTTTCAGTTACAGAATAGCATTTCCAGTCTCCTCCTAGCTGCATTCGAGTGGGGGTGGGAGGAAATGAAGACTGCAGACCTACATATCTTTTCCTAATTGGAAAGAAGCCTCAGCAAACCTACATATCTTTTTTTCCTAATTGGAAAGAAGCCTCAGCACTTTTGGGCAATGGTGTTTTGGTTGTGTGCACTGTCCTGCTGGAACTCTGCCACATGGAGTGTACACCCGGGTCGAGTGTAGGAGAGCAGTGCAGGAAGATTATCCATGTCGACAGTGCCAATCCTCTGTTAGAACTCCACTTAATCTATTAATTTCAGACAGCCTGAATATAAAACAATACAGATTCTTAGGAACAGAGTAATGAATAAATCTGCCACCAGCTTTGTCGTGAGGTTTGAGAATTCTTTTCCCAAGGCCAATCCTTTAAATACTCATAATAAAGCAAGACTCACATATTTGTAAGGCTGCTCTTTGAGTCCTGTAGCAAAACATCCAAATAGAAAAAAAAATGCAGTGGAGTGAAAACTTACAACATGCCAACTCACTGAGGTTTGAAGGTGATATTAGCTATCAAAAATTCTGCACAACACTCTGTGGGTAAACGGTTTATCCACGGTTAGGTGTGCAGAAGACACACGAGATAACAAATGCTGTCAGTGTTACCATTGACTTATCCACCAGAAACCACACTTGCATTACTTGGGCTTTGGGAACATGTGGTTAAAGGTTCTGATTTCACAAGGTACATGGAGTTTTCAAGAAGCACAGAACAGAGTCCACCTCCTCACCCACCTTCCTGTGAGCGACATAGGAGTGCAAAGAGTGAAAATACTCACAAATCCTTAGTGACTAGTGGTGGCAGTTCAAATATGTACATTCTCCTGCAGCTTTTGCTGTATTTTCCTTAAATATGTTTACTCAGTGTGAAGATCATCTCACTTAAACCAGCACACAGCAATTACACCTTGTCTAGGCAGGCTGGACCTGTAGCACCGATGAATGGCAGGCCTGACTGTGTTAGAGAGCTGTTGGGGATCTCTACAAACACAGATCAGCTACATATCAAACATATCCTATGGAATGAGTGAAGCAACAGAGAGGAACGTGGAGTTGTCCCGTAACACCACGAAGTCCCGAGAGAATGGAGCTAGGCTGGATCAACACACAGAACTCACATTTTCCTTCAACAGTAGGATAATCTATAGTCATTAATTCAGGCCTCCACTTACTTACTATTCCTCACCTACAAGTGACCAAGTTCAAATTCACCTTTTTCCCCCCCAAATCCAGTTAAGTTTTAAAGAATAAACCGTTAGCTGCGGATTTCAAAGTATGTTCAGCTGTTGACTCAAGACCAGTAGGTGTTTATGAGTGTTGACAGTTTTATTGACCAAGCACGAAGACTTGTCTAGTAACACCACAAAACATGTCTGATTATTACTTTGTGATAGTGTCCATACTAATCAATGAAGAATAACTTATTAACCTCCCAAATTACAGGGCCTTTACATTTGGCTGTGGAGTGCCTCATACACCTATGGCACCATAGCACATCCCTGAACTGACAGTGTATGTTCACAGCAACAGATTTCCGTAAGTTACATAATAAACACCCTAACATACAGGTCCTTCTACAAAACATTATAAAGCTTCTCTGCAAAGTTAGTGTCTGTCCCACCCCATTTTACATTTAAACATTGACAATTTTACAGGGAAGCACTGGAAAGTTTTATGCTGTTGTTGCATTTACCTCCCAAAATCACAGTGTATCAGAGGGGACCAATCCTACAGGCTTCCCGTTTCCCAGAGGATTAATCAGACGTGAATGAGATATGAAACGGAGACACATTTCTAGCTTTGTCTGGATTTCTCAAAGACTTTGGGAGCTTGCAGAAATGTGACCGTACCCATAAAAGCATCAGTCCCTGCCTGTGAACAGGCGAGGGGATCCCTTTGGAAAGGTTTGCTCTAACTCAGCATCATCTGTGTTTGCTACAATCTATTTCCAAATGTTACTGCGTCTCCTGTGGGTACATTCACTGCTCCCGTTTTGGTAGTTTAAAGTGCAAACTGCTGCTACAGAAAGAGAAATTGGAACCAGTGGCAAGAATCAGCCCTCCTGCAGGGAA